CCGCTGCACAGATATAAATAAAAAATTCTGCTATCTTGAAAAACGAAAAATAACATTTTAGTAAAATTAAACAATACTACAGAGCGTAAATTGGCTAAAAAACTTTTAAAATTCGAAATTTCGAAATTTTGTTCGTAAATTGTTGTATTTTGCATTTTTTTAAACCAATTGTGATAAGTGTTTGCGTTTAGGAATAGGAAAAAAAGGCTTGAAACACTTCCTCTATTTATATTCGAAAAATGAACCTGAATACCGACTGAAAAATTATTCAAACGGTATAACGCGCACCGAGGCATTCCGCTTACCCCCCCCCCCGCTAACAGCACAGTGCTAAGCCCACGTCATGTCCAGTTTGTAACCCCACTTTGCGCCGGGTCGCACGCCTACGTGGAAATTCGGACAGTTTGCCAGTGGGAATTGGTGGGCAGCGAGAACGAGATGGGGTGTCGGATGACGGGCGTTAGTCGCTGTGAATCGCGTGAATTATTCGTCTTGAGGACGACGCCCCGCTCCAATTCACACCTGCGCATGGGGGGGGGATCCGGTGACATCTCCTTGCCAAAGTATGTTATATCGCATGTATATGGTAAGAGCGGAGAGAGACAGAGAGTGGGAAGAGCGAGAGAGAGCGAGAGAGCGAGAGAGAGAACGAGAAAAAGAAAGAGAGAGAGCTAGAGAGATAGAGAGAGCGCGAGCGAGATATCGATGTGCATAGATAGACCGATGTACGCGAGACAGAGGGAGAGAGAAAGAGAGAAAGAGAGAGAGAGGCGAGAGATAGTGAGAAAAATTCAACGTAATATCCATTTATCCATTTTCCAAATTCGTAACCACATTTATTTGACTACTGTAGTCACCTGACGCTCCCCTCCCCGTCTAGCCGCCTAATTCGCGCGCCCGGCGCTGTGCAGCCTCGAATTTTGCGCCGTAATCCCTGTGCGCGGAGCGGGAGCGCCGGGGAGCAGGAGATACGGCGCGGGAAGCACGACCGTTTGGTTCGACGCCCAAATGAGATAATGTGATAGGATCAGCGACGATAATCACCCGAAGGGCTACGGTACATTGCCGCGGATTTTGGGGAGGAATGCGCGCTGTTTCTCTATCTGTTCTCTCCCTCTCTATCTATCTCTCTCTAGCTCGTTCTTTCTCTCGTTCACTCTCCATCCCCTCTAGCTCTCTCGCTCTCTGTTCTCCCTCACTCTGGCCTCTCTTTCCCTCGCTCTCTTTCTCTGTCTCTCGTCTTCTCTCTCCCTTTTTCCCTCGCTCTCTCTCCCTCCCTCTAGCTCTCTCTCGCTCTCTCGTTCTCCCTCACTCTCGGCCTCTCTTTCCCTCGCTCTCTTTCTCTGTCTCTCGTCTTCTCTCTCCCTTTTTCCCTCGCTCTCTCTCCCTCCCTCTAGCTCTCTCTCGCTCTCTCGTTCTCCCCTCCTCTCGGCCTCTCTTTCCCTCGCTCTCTTTCTCTGTCTCTCGTCTTCTCTCTCCCTTTTTCCCTCACTCTCTCTACCCCTCTCTCAGTTCTTATATTTACCCCCTCCAATTCTTGTCCCGCTTTTCGAGATTAGGCCTGGAATTTGGAAGGCAAGGCAGAGCGCAGGTCGAGACACTCTTTCCTCCTTCTTCGAGCAGGTCAACGAGCCGTATGATGCCAATTAGTCGGCTCGTGCTCCCCATCGGCTCACCCGATTTGTGCCCCCCTCATGCTCATCGGCTACCTCCCATGATCGTGCCGGTAATCGCTTCAGCGCTACGCGCTTCAGCACACCCGCGCCCTTTCTAGGTACCGTAACCCGTGATCCAGGGATAAGCGGCGGCTTTGGGGCGTTCGGGTCTTGCTCTGGCTCTTTCTCTCACTCTCTTGCTCTTTGCAGTCTCTCTCACACTCTCACTCTCTCACTCTCTCTCTCTCTTTCTCTTTCTCTCTCTCTCTCTCTCTCTCTCTCTCGCTCTCTGTGTCTCTCTTTGTCTCTATCGGTCTCTCTCCCTCGCTCTGTTTCTCTCTGTTCTCCTTCTCCCTCTTTCTATCTCCTAGATTTTGCCTATTTATTACTGATAATTTTTTATTAAAATCAAACAAAGAATTACTTATTTAAAGCTCTTTATTCAGGATCAATTTCCAAAAGTCATCCGCACAAGGTATTGAACATCAATCATAAAATGGCAATCAATAATTTCTAGGGCATAAATGCAAAATAAATGACTAGGGAATAGGTGCGTAGCGAGTGAAAGGACAAGAGAAAACTTTCAAAAAAGAAAAAGATTTTTAAAGCCTCAGCAGCCGCTCTTTGCTTTTTCAAAAGTAAAAGCTTGAGCTGAAGCTTAATTGCGCTGTGATACCCGTATAATCGGTTGAGTAGACCTTAGAAGAGAGACAGAGAGAGACAGAGAGACAGAGAGAGAAAGCGACATTTTCAGATCTCGAGCTGCTTTGGTGCGGGTAGGGGACTAGATGGGGGGTCGGCATCGGTTTTGACGCGCTTCCGCTTTGGCTTGGTGTCGTCCTCGTCGGCTGACATCTCGAGGTCGCTTTCATCTGAAAGTAAATGATCAGGTGCATAGGTTTAGCTTAGCTTTTGGCTTAGGCTTAGTTTAGGCTTAGCTTTAGCTGAGGCTTGGCTTAGCGTTAGGCTTACGCTTGGGTTTAGACCTAGCTTAGGCTCGGCTTAGGATTAGGCTTAGGGGTGGACTGGACTTGGGCTTAGCTTAGGACTAGACTTAGACTAAGTTAGTTTGCTTACTAGCTTACCAGCCTGCGGTTCAGGCCCAGCTCCCGCTTAGGCGTAGGCTTAGGATTAGGCTTTGGCTTTGGCATAAGCTTAGGCTAGGCCGAGGCTTAGGCTTAAGCTTAGCGAAGTCTCTTCGTCCCCTAAAACGCACCCGAAGCGGAATTCTTGGTGGCTCCCGGCTGCTTGGTTACTTCCCTCTTCTGCTTCCGCTCCTTGGCTCGCCGGTTCTTGAACCACACCTGAAAAAAAACATACGGTTGGGGAATAGGCTTATCCCCCTAGCATTGTGCGGCACGTCAAAAGAATAGATTGCGCCCCTCAGCTTATCGTCTACGCTTTTCAAAAGACATTGTAGGGCCCAGAAAGGGGTTAGAAACTCCTTGGTAAGCCGTTGCTCGTCATAAGCAGACCAGCAGAGACGCTTGGGGAATTTTTAGGGCAAAAATCCTCGAAAATAAACTTAAAAACTAAATTTTACCGAACTATAGGTCTTGTTTTTGCTGAAACTCGCCGGTTTTACAGTATTTCGCGCAGAAGTTTTAGCTGGTTTTTTAGATTTTTAACGGCTAAAATTTTAGTCCCGGCAAATATGGGCAATTGTCGGGCAGGTTCTTTGGCATTATCGGGGGGGTTTTCTAAGGATCAAATTTTTCTAATATAAAAAGAGGACGTGTTCCATGCTGTTTTTTTTACTATTTTTAGAAGTAAAAAAACGTAAAATTTTACTAAGACCACAAAAACATCGATTTTTCGACCAAAAATGACGGTTTTTGTCCAGAATTTCGAGTTTTTAAAAGTTTCTCAAAGTTTTGGATAGCTTTTCTAGGTGTAATATTTAAAACACGATTTCAATACTTACTTTCGTTAATAGGAATTTCTGGACATGTGGGAAAACCCCGCCCCCCCCCCCCCCGTTAATGCAAAAGTTCCTCAGCCATTTCTACGATACCTCGACCCGCTCCTCCTTCAGCTCGCACTCCACGGCTAGCTTCTCCCTCATGGCGACGTCCGGGTAGTGCGTTTGGGTGAATGTTCGCTCCAGGATCTAAACTCCAAAAAAATAGCCGAGACAAAAATGTCCCACCTGCAGCTGCTCCTCGCTGAAGATGGTGCGGTGGCGGCGCTTCCGCTTTCCGCCGAGGAATGTCGGCAAAAACGGGGGGAAGAAGCCGCCGGAAAGGAGTTGGCTGGCTGGAAATCAAGCGTTAATAAGCTCTAAAAGTACCAATAAATCGTATTTTTGCGTAATTTTCTGGTCTATATTTCGTAAAGCTAGTAAAAAAGTTAGTAAAAAGTTTTCATAAAATTTTGCGCTTTTGCATTACTGGGGGGGGCCTATTTTTTTAACACCCAGAAAGCACTATTCCTTTGATAATGTGTATACAAAAATTTAACTGAATTTTTAATTAAATTGAACTTTAACCAAAAATATCTAAAAAACTTAGAAAATTTCGGAATTTTGCCCGAAATATCGGTATTTTTTGTAACAAAAATTAGTTTAATAAAAAACAAGCATTTCTGGTGGAAAGAATTATTTTCAAAACCTTTGCAAAATTTTTAATTCAAATTTTGGTGGAAATCGGTCATTTTGGCCGAAAATCACTCACATTTTTGCAATACAAAGGTGTTGTTTTGACGCTTAGGAATTGTAAAAGAAGTTTAGAACCATTTCCTCAATTTAAATCAGAAAAATTGGGCCCTAAAGAGGCAAAAGCCCCCCCCGATAATGCAAAAGCGCCAGCAATTTAGCCTAATATTCAAGGCGCTCGCGCCAGCCTGACCGGCGCTAATCCGAGCATGCCCTAAGCTAGGATGTGGCCCAAGGTCATTTCCGGCTCCGTCCTCATCCCGGGGGCTACGGTATGGACCAATCGGCAAACACCCTGCCAGGCGTGACGAGCCCAAACATGGGATTTGCCGAGTTTTAGTAGCATTGCGCAACAATGGACACGTTGAGAGGGGTGGGCTCGTTGGCGGACAACGGCCAGCGGAATTTCAGCCATAATGCCGACAGCCAAAGTACCGACGGGTAGAATGCCGACAGCTTTCTTGACGCTAGTTTGAATGCCGCTTCCTCTTAAACTGCTATTTTGCTCTGTCGCGTTTTTTGCCTGTCGGGATTTTGGCCGTCATTTTGGTCTGTCGGCAATTTGGCCTATGGGTTTTCAGATTTTGGTTGTCCAGATTTTGTCTGTCGGGATTTTGGCTTGTCGGGGTCTTGGCTGTGATGTTTCGGTTGTCGGGATTTTGGCTCGCGGGGACTTTGACAATTTCCTTGCCCATCGTTTAAAAAAAGACCTTAATGGAATTTCACGACAGGACCTCGAGAAAGCTACCCCCCGCTGACATCCCAGTACCGGGGCGAAATTCTCAAATCTGCCATGTCCCGGATTGGCCCCGGCCTGGCCGATAATCCATGGACAGTTTGTATGGGGTGGTGTGTATAGGAGTGTCGCGTCGTCCGGCCGGCCCGAGTCTGAATAGGGGGGCTGTTTGCGCAAATTCGCTAAGTAGCGAGGTGCTCAATAGAGGGCAGGCATACACGCACACACACACATACAAACACGGCTGCTACTGCCTGGCTGCTCTTGCCCAGGCCAGCCAGGCCAACCAGTACAAGCATTGCGCATGCAAGCAGGGGCGGGATGGAGATTTCTGGGATGTATTAACGGCTTTTTCCGGGGATTTACGAGGTTTCGGGGCCTTGAAATTGCCAGATTTCTAAAAATTGATTCAGCTTTTTCGTATTCGATTACGATAGCCAAAATGCCGACAGAGCAAAATGCTGACAGCCATAATGCCGACAAAAAATCCTACCACTGAAAATGCCGACAGCCAAAATCCTGACAGACCAAACTGCCGACAAAAAATCCTGCCGTTTTTTACAACTTTTTTACAAGATTTTTGAGCTGGTTTTGAAACTCTTAATAGATGTCTTGAATCTCGACTGAATGGCGCCTTTAAAAACTCGCAAAAAAGCTAATTCCAAAATACTTACGGAAAAAGGGATACGCCGACGGCCAGGCGGTCGCGTGGAAGAGGTCGAGGGGAAGCCCGGAAAATGGCATCGGTAACCGAGGGGAGGATAGGAGGGCCTCGATTGAGAAGGCAGGTGGAGATGAGGAGGATGAGCTGGAAGGGAAGATGAATATTATCTAGCGTTAAAATAAAGCTAATATACCCTAAAAATGTTGCTCAGTAAAATCACCTAGCCGGTGTGTGGATGGTCGAGAGGCAAGAGCGAAGCTGCTCGGGGCCCAGTTGAAATGCCGGCGACATGAATGGTAGGGACATCGCCTGAAAATTAGCAATTAAACGTTGGTTATTAAGTTTAACGTCTTAGAATAATTAAAATTTGACTTCAAGTTTAAGTTTATTTTATTATCTTTGTTTTTATTCCTATATTTCAAATCAATATGGTTAAATACGGTAAAAAATTAATTTAAATGTTGTAAACAGTCAGAGGGTAAAATCAGACGATACTAAAATACACTGAATTATACAATTAAAGGCTTTAAAACAGCTACTTTTATTCAGCTGTTAAAATTAATGTAAATGTCGTAAACTGCAAAGAACGTAAAATACATAACGATGTTACATTAAACCTTAGTTATAAATTCAAACGGCTTCTAATACCAAAATTTAATTTTAAATTTGATTTAATTCCTAGTTAAATCAATGTTATCAAGCTACCAAAATTAATTCAAATGCCGTAAACGGTCAAAAACGTAACTTTATACGCTACGCAACGATACTACAGCACACTCATAAACACGGTTCAGGTTAAGGAGCTGGGGCAGCGCCGTATGCGCGCACCTCCAGGTGCAGCCGCTCCTAGGCCACGCCCCCCAGCCACCGTAACCCCAGGCCGGGGGTTGGCCAAGGCGTCGGGCGTCTTTTGGTCGTTTCCGGAGTCGTAGATGGGGGGCTTTTCAGAATTTTCGGATAGTAAAATCTTATTTTAAAACCCTGGGCAAAAATTTTCCTAAACAGGCTTCGCCCGCCCTTTAAAAGCAAAAATCTAGAACGAAAATCGATTTGCACTAAAATAGGAAGATTTATATGGTCAATCGTAAAATAGTAAATCGTAAAAAAACCACAAAAATAGTTTTTCGGGGTTTCTATCCTTGGCCAAATGGTAGTGTTCTTGTTTCCCAGGAAAACAGCCCGGGCTCGACCCCCGCATGATGCAGGATCGGCTTTTTGCTTTTTGAGAAGCCTATTAGTATTATTGATAAGGCCTAGAATCAATAAAAAATTTATTAAAACACTTGAAAAAACTTTATCTCGGTATTCCCATCCTGGCTAAATGGTTGTGTTCTCGTTTCCCAGGAAAACAGCGCGGGTTCGATCCCGCTGAGAACAGATCTCTTTCTTTTTCGAGGAATTCATTAGGATTAACTATAAAGTTCTAGAACAATAACAAAAACCCTAAAAACAGGAAAAGTCTCTGTCGCCTTGGCTAAATGGTTGTGCTCACGTTTCCCAGGAAAACAGTCCGGGTTCGACCCCCGCCGGGGGAAGAATTTTTCCTTTTGCTCAATTCATAAAGTATTTAAAACTAACCGCTATATACCTTAAAACCAGCCATCCCTGACCAGACAGCCTGCCCCATTGGCTAATCAGCGGATTTGCCCCCTGGGCCCTCAGGATTTGCGCGTGTTGGCACTTGGCGCCCAGGCGTCAATGTGTTGACATGACCCGGTAGGGCCATTAATGATGGGCACCTGGTCTACCCCTCAGAGGGCCCACTTCTCCCGTCTCCAGTGGACGGTGGAGGAGTGGATGGTGGTAGTGGACTTCTCGCCTTGTATGCCAACAAAAGGCCCACAACACGCCTACAAATAGCAGGTACTGTACTTTTAGCGGGGGGGAGGGGTTAACGAAGGACAGCTAATTTATTTCTTCAAGTCAGAGTCAAGCTGAAGTCTAAGCCTAAGTGGAAGCGCTTCGGGGGACGGCTAATTTACATTTTCAAGCTTAAGCCTAAGCCTAGCCTAAGCCCATGACCAAGCCTGAGCCTAAGCCAAAGCCTAGCTTAACCCTAATCCTAATCCTAAGCCTAAGCTAAGCCTAAGCCCAAGCCCGAGGCTGATCCTAAGCCTAAGCTTAAGCCTGTACCTAAGCCCAACCCTAAGCTAAGCCTAAGCTAAGCTTGAGCTTGAGCCTAATCTTAAGCTAAATCTAAACCGAATCCTAAGCCTAAGCTAAGCCTAAGCTAAGCCTAAGCCTAAATAAGCCTTTATTGTGACCGGAATTCTTTATTTAATCACATAAATAATGTTTACCACAACAAACCAAAAAACCTCGTCTTCAACGCCCATCCACCTTCCGATTATGCGCATCCGCAAACAAATTGGGCAGCGAAGACGAGGGCTTCGGACAGCTGTCCGTTCGGCTCGTCACCAAGTCATGTCGGAGATGATCTAGTGTCTAGATGTGGAGGGGGATATAGTTTCGAGGGGGGTATCGCTTTAGGGACCTCGCATCCCTTACCCAACCTCATATAGTGACCGACGATGCGTGAAGGCCGGTCAGCAAAGATTGTTGGCCGCCACCCGGGAGATTCTCCCTTATAATCAGATTGTTGCGTTTTAGCGGCTGTGCGGGTGGGCTAAAGGCAAAAAGGTGCCGATTGGAGGGCGAGTGTTCGGGTGAATGAGGCGATAATACTCGCGCGCAGCTGTGAGCTCGAGAAAATACCGATTAGCGAGTGCGAGGGGCGAGATTGTCCGTTTTTTGGCTGCTGAATCCTGAAAAAAACTAATTGTTTCTAGGGTTTTCACGAATATTTCAGAAGCTCGAATTTGATAATGTCGAAATTCATTTTGTCGAAATTCCATAAAGTCCAAATTTCATGACGCCAAAATTTCATAATGTCGGTATTTTAGGATGTCGAAATTTCCGGACAACCACGAATGCCATGCAGAAAATATCAGCATTTTCAAATCCGACATTAAGAAATTTCGATATTATGAATTTCGACATTTTGAGACCAAATTGGTCGCCTATTAATCAAATACAAAGTGTTTTGTACTGTTTTTCAGTAAAATTTAGCTAAATTTGAGGTTAAAAAATGTCTAAAAACTGGAAAATTGTCTGAAATGTTCAAAATTTAGCCATTTCAGGTGTAGAAAATCGATTTTTCTTCGCCTAAATATTTTTTTGGTTTGTGAAGTTTTTATGTTCTGGAATGGCTAAAAAAATGTATAAAAATAGTTACATAAAATTAAAAATCGATTTATATAAAAAATACGCATTCACGTACAAAAGTTCGTACCCGGTTTTCCGACAATTTTTCGATTTTTATCAACTTCCGGCCACGACCGATTTAACATTACAGTACTACCAAAGTCTTGCCGAAATTTAATAAAAACGTAAACTCAGAAACCCCGTCGCGCTTATCCCCACCATGGTCGGGGCTTAGGATTACTCCCGCCCGTCGGCGCCATACGTAGAGCTTAGGGCATTTTGGTAAAGCCCCAGGGGCGAGGGTCGCAGATCTACGGCCCAAATAGGTGGGAAATTCATTGGATTTGCGGGCCCGAAAGATGATAATTAGAGGGCCCGGAAGGGGGTTGTGGGGGGGGGAGAGGAGCATACGGCACCGCTCGTCCCCGACCAAATCGACTGGAAAATCCAGCGATGACCTCAAGCTGGCCCAAGGTGCCGCCCCCCTGATCGAAGGTATCAATTGGCCAACAGGATTTGGGGGATCAGGGCGAAAGGTAAATATAAGGGAGTTAAAAACGGCGGCCTTAAAGGGATGCCGACGGCATAGTCAATCGGTTACGCGCTGGAAAGAAAATGTCTCTGCGCCTCTCCCCAGGGCGCGCTCTCTGCCCTGTTGGCTACTTGCCAATTTGTTGATGGGGGGAATCGACACATGCCGTCGGCAGGCCTTTAAAGGAAATACTGGACCTTTAGCAATATCGGGGGGGGGCTAATTTCTAGAATTTTACAGTTCTTTCGCATTATCGGGAGACCAATTTTTCCCTAAAATCCCATTTTTTAAATAAATGTATCGTAAGTGTATCTAAGCTGTTTTTTACCATGCCTAAACGTTAAAAACCTTACAAATTTTTATTAAAGATAAAAAATAGAAGTTTTTCAACCAAAACTGGTAGTTTCTCTGACCGAAATGTCGATTTTTTTTTAAACTTTTGGAACTTTTTATAGTTGAAATATCGTTATATTTGACTAAAAACACCATCAAAATACTTTCTATTAAGTTAATCGGGATTTCTAGACGTATACACAGAAAATTTCGCCCCCCGATAATGGGAAAGAACCGTTTTTACAAGTTTTAAAACTGCCAAAATAGCCTTCATTATGGTCAAACGTCTGAAATTTGAAGGGGAAAAAAATAGAGGAAACCCAAATTTTCGACCAAAATTTCAATTTTTAGACTCTTTCCGCGTTTTCTAAGTCATTTTTCCACTTGAAATATAACCTAGTTTATACCCAAAACACTTTTAAAATACTTCCTATTACATTACTAGTAAATGCTGTTTATTACAATTTTCGGTATTTCGAAAGCACCTAATTACTAAACTAAGAAATGGACTCTTGCAAATATCCACCGAATTTAGCGACATATCTCTGCTTTGTCTATGAAGTGGTTAAACGACTCTTGGCTCCACGACGCAATATTTTGGACACAATGGTGAGAGGGTGCTAACAAGACGCGATGGCTGAATCGTGTTAGCCCGCATCGAGCACTACTTGAGCTACAGGGCCGACGGTGCGTCAGGGGGGGTCCGGAATATCCGTTTTTACGTGTTTATCTTGCAGGAACCTAAAAGGTGTGGAAGCAAAGAGGCCGATACCTTTAACGGGGCTTCCAGCCGTTCGTCTTCCGGCCGCTGTGCCCACCGCAGCGCCCCCACAATAGGTGGCAGAAAGGTGTCATCCTTTGAATCTGTCCGCTGCCAATAGATTGCCATTGCCACCGAAAGGCAGATTGTTGCTATTGTATAAAAGGGTACTGTTCGGTTTAGCCGGGGGGAAAATCTGATATGCCTATAGTTTTCGAATTCTTTCAACGCCATTCGATAAAGCATCCAAAAATACCCCTAAAAATTTTTATTTCAGCTTCAAACAATGTAATCTAAAATGGTTATAGTAAAAAACAAAAATAGCGTTTCAAAAACGAAGTTGATACAACATTTTTCGGGATTTCGACGTTTTTCGGGATTATTTCGACACTATTCGATAAAGTGTTTAAAAATTCACTAGGAGTTTTTATTTCAGCTCCAAATAGTAGAATCTAAAATAGTTATAGCAAAAACCAACATATGGCACGAAAACGGAGTTGGTAAACTAGTTTTAGGCATCTCGCCATCGCAAATAGAACCCCCGCAATAATACCAAATATGCGTATATCATCATCCAGCTGAAGCGTGCCAGCGCTTCCTCCAAAACATGCAGGAGAAGAAGGAGATCATCCCTTTCCGCCACTTCAACCACTGCGTTGGACGCAAGGCCCAAGCGAAGACCTTCGGCGTTGTCAAAGGACGTTGGCCTGTGAAATCCTGCGAATTCATCTTGCAGCTGTTGAGGTATGCTTTTTATAGTAACACGGCTCGTTTTGTGATGCGTAGGCCAAAAAATTGCGTTACGTAAACCGTTCCTTTCTTTCTTTTTTTAGAAACAAACTTTTTTGACAGTCACTATTTTGAGCACTTGAAACTGTGTCGCATTACCCTCTAATGTCGCCAATATTAATGTTTGTTTTACAGAAATGCGGAAAGCAATGCTGACTACAAAGGCCTGGACACCGATGTAGGTCATATCGGGATGCTTTGGACTGCGATGCAAGTCGTCAATGATGCGCAGAGGTGCAATTAACGCTGCCTATGGATTTAAGGGCAGAAGTGATCTTGCATTTGCATCAGCCCTGCCCCAGCCCGACTTTCGATCTTTACCTCCGCCATTTCCGACCTGTCACGAAAACCTACCCGATTCTAGCGGCTTCTTGGTGAAGTCTCTATTGGTCCAGCCACCATCGACTTGAGGGGGTTCTTTTCAGAATACATGCCGGACAACTTTACGGTAGCGCAACTACCATCGCTGTTATGGAGGAAAGTTTACGGCAAGATGAATCCCGACGAAAAGTATCGTTTTCGGGGCGTTAATAGGGTATGCTAATGGCCGTCTTTCTGCAATCGTTAGGTATTTAGGCTCTCTTGGGAAACGTTTCCCCACTATGCATAATGTCTGGACCAGTTGCATCTATGCGGATTCAGCGAACCACGGTAACACCCTTATGGTTTATCAGTAATAACATTCAAAATGTCAAGATCTGGACCACGAATATCGTCGTGAGCAAGGATATCGAATTGAGCATTATCTACAAGTGGCATCCGCAGCCGTCAATACATTTGAAATGGCAGAATAAGGCAACAAGCGAAACCCGGTGAGTTTAAAGCGGAGACAACCCAGATCCAAAAACCATTGTATTTTTTTTTTGCTTTCAGGAAATTCATTTACAAAAACGCAGACCTGAAGGGGTGGTTGAAACTTCTGGAGAGACTGAGACCAGCATCGTTTGCAATCACCGTTGCTGCAGGATTGAGCAAGGTTGAAGAGCGAGAAGAATTTTATGACATATTGCCTGCGCTTCCGCAGTCTCCTTGGCGGGCAATTTTCCCCCGATGCGAAACAATCGAGGTGGTTGTTCCTTTTCTAACCTTATCGTTTTTTCTAGCCGATCTTTTATCCCCTTATTAAGCTTTGATTACAGGATAATATTGCGCAAGTGCGGACGATCCGAAGTCGTCTCAATGGCGCACCTAATATGGTAAGTAAGCCTGAAGTACCCTTACAAAAACTAGCGGCATTCAAGTCGGAAGATTGCCAGGCTGAGTTTTGATTTTTTTTGCCAGCGCGCTGGCTTCAGAGAAAAAACATATTTGCAGTGGGGAAGCGATTGTGACGTCAACGACAGTTCGAAAGTACGCTATCTGGAATGGGTCGAATCTGTATGTATCCGACTTTTATTTAAAGTTATCTTCCAATCTTTACGCCGCCGTGCCTTTAACAATTTTTAAGCTGGCTGACCTACCCAGTATCGGGCTCAGGGTGTTTATCAGTCGACGTGGCGAGATCGAGACGGTTTTCAATATTTTCGAAGCGATCCTACAGCTCCTCATTCAAAAGGTGCGAATCGAGACATTTCTCCTCACCCATTACAGCTTCCACCTCAGGGGAATCGGCCTAGAACTTTCATTATGTATTTCCAACTATGTAATGAATATCGTCATGATACCTGCCAACAGGTCAGCTTTTGGCTATTTTTAAAGCGATCTGAAAACTACGGTCTCGAGGCGCTCATATCTGGGGCAAAATTATAGCAACCAGAGAGCGTACTTTACGGGCTGTCAAGTCGAAGTCGGGTACGAAAGAATTCATTTCAGTGGGCAGATGATCGAATATTTTCTGCCAGGTTGAAGGAGACAATGGCGTCTGTGGATTTACCAGAAGGAGCGACACTCTTCGAAAATTTTTCACCGCCTCCTAAAATGGTAGGTTACTAGGATATAACAAATTCCGTCAAGAACTACGAATCTGGATGTTTTCAGGAACAAAGAATTTTCGTTTTGGCGCAGGGAGGTAAGGCGAAATCCAAGGAATCTTGGAAGTCGTGGCTGCGCACGCACTTTGGAGACGCAATGGGCGTCACGACGAACGTTTTCAACGGCGTCGACGACGACGGAACGCAAAGTTATTGATGTCGACTGTGCAATTCTCGATAGCATACGTTACTACAAAACTTTGAATAAAAGAATTGTTAAAGGACGCCAAACATTTTTGCTCAATATTTAGACAAACATTGAGAAACAGTAACCTTTCAGACACAGTTAAAGGGATGCCGACGGCATAGACAATCGATTACGCGCGGAAAGAAAATGTCTCTGCGCCTCTCCCCGGGGCGCGCTCTCTGCCCTGTTGGCTACTTGCCAATTTGTTGATGAGGGGGGATCGACACATGCCGTCGGCAGCCCTTTAATAAACGCACTGTCGCCATGCCAAATAAATTGTGCGAAATCATCGAAGATCTATATAATTCCTCGATTTGACCTAGCAAACGGCACCTAGGGCTATTTTTGCAGGCGGCAAGTGGCCGGTCGTGCCGCCCGCCATTTCCTTGCTACTCGATCATCCTAGTTTTCAACAGCCCTGCTAAACACTAAAACCAATTTTTAAAAGCCTAGCCTAGTAGTAAACTGAGCAGGCTTTAATATAGCTTAATTTTATTCGTTTCGCTCAAAACCTTCTGGCTTTAATTTCAGGAAAATGTTGGACAAGTTTCCAGTGCAAGAGCTACCCTTACTGTCATTGAGAGAAATCTATTGCAAGATGAATCCCCATGCAAAGTATCGTTTGCGGGCCGTTAATAAGGTATGGGTAAAATTCGAGCAGAGATTTTCGTATTTTTAAGGCATTGTTCGCACGGGCTTCGCGCTCCATTCCAATGATGTCTGGGCCGGTGCCTTCAATGGAGTTGAAGCGAGCACAGGTACCGAAATTCGAATTGCCAAAAATTTTTGCAGACATGGCGTGCAGACATCGAAATCGAGCCAGGGGTCTTATTCATCATCGAATACAGTTGGCACCCCAAACCCTCGATCCTACTCAGAGTCAAACATAAGATGAAGAAAGCTCGGTGAGTTTTCGCGCGTTCTGGGGATTTTTGCCAAATATAGAATTTTTCGCGGTTCCGGTTACTGTTTTTCATCTAGAAAAACTTTTTAAAAACTCAAAAAATAGGTCAAAAACGGACACCTTTGGTCAAAAAAATTTATGTTTTTTGTATATTTAACCAGAAATTGTAAAGTTCTTTCGTTTAGGAATAGTAAAGCACAGTCTAGAAACACTGCCATTTATATTTTAAAAAAATTGGACTTGAAGAAATTCGTTGGCCCCCCGATAATGCAAAAGTGCAGCCCATCGGATAAATTTAAGGGAGAGGGATTTTTTAGGTTCGGTATAGAACCATTTTCGCTTCCAGGGACTTCACGATGAATGGTGCGGATTTGGAGACATGGTTCAGGCTCATCGAGAAGCTTAAAGCCAAAAACCAGAGGTTCTTTTTTTTCGCGCATCGCTGGGGCGACCTGGATCAAAATGGATTTTCCTCCGTCATCACTAAACTTCCGAATGCTCAACGCCGCTCAGTGCACCTTTCTAGCAACCAATTCCAGGTACTTCAACATATTATTTCAGCGCGCCGACATTCAAACGGAAAATTACGGTGTTTTCAGATGAGCATCACGCGTATGACGAGCATCTTGACTAGCCTCCGCCAGAGGCCCGACTTTGTAAGAATTCTTTTTTTTGCAGTGGTTTTTCCCGTGGTACGATGATGGAATAGACTATTTATTCTTGAAACAGTTCCATATTCCTTCAGAACGGGAAGGCGTTGTCAGAGTGGTCTGCCGCTTTTCGTTACGACAACTCTCCAATCCCTGACTTTCTACATTGGGCCGAAAAGGTAGCTGCACTCACAAGGAGTCGCTTTTAGGTGCTTTTGGAGTTTCTGGACAGGACCTAGCTAGTTCGATAGAGAAAAAATTCTGAACACCATACCATTTTCAAAAAGTGCTGATCGATAAAGGAATTTTAGAAAATTTAATTTAAAGTTCGCGCTTTTGTTTCTAGTTTTCGGGTCCATTTCCTCGGTTCACGTTGTTTTCGGGGCTGGGCAAGGCGCCATTCATAACATTCCGCCAAGGTCTCCATCACAGGTTGCATTGGCGTATTGGTAGCGCGCTTGCCTACCAACTTTTTAACATTTTTTGCCTCGGGTTCGAATCTTCGCGCTGGCTAACCGTTTGCTTTTTGGCTCTTAAACCCGTCATCGGCGCATAACATTTTAATTAGCAAAAAAGCAAAAGGTTAACGATAAATAAGAATCGAACTTGTGGCAAAAGGCCAAAAAAAACTTCGTAGGCCGACGCACTAGCCACTTGGCCATGCCTAGGACGGGATCCAGGACGCTTGAAGTCCCCATGTGGTAGGGGCGGCTACCGCCGCAAATCACCTCAAATCACATCAAGGGTCCGGATACCGGGAACGTTTTTAATTAAATTAAATTTTCTAAAACACCTTTATCGATCAGCACTTTTTGAAAACGGGATGTTGCTCAGAATTTTTTTCTCTATCGAACTAGCTAGGTCCCGTCCCGAAACTCCAAAAGCACCTAAAAGCGACTCCTTGTCAGATCCAGCCGGCGCCCGGCTCAAACTGGCTGCTTTCTATGGCTTCTATCTTGTTTTAGCTCGTTGGGTTGCCCGTACTGGGGCTGGTGTCCTATATTCATCATCGATCTCAGATCGTGCCACTGCTGGATGTCCTTAAAGAGCTCCTCGCATTTTTCCTCTACAAGGTACGGTTTTCGGCTCAGAAGACCGAGGTCTTGCTCTCGGAGAATTGTCTCATCTTTTCAGCATCCACCTCAAGCAGAACAAACTAGGATTTTCCTGATGGTTGTCGATCTAGCACTGGTCTATGAACTTTCACAACAGGTCCAGGTTCGTTGGTTTCACCAGGATGTTGGCTAGGTTTGATCTGATCCCCTTCAGGAAGCTCTTCATCGTCAATTTTCGAAAACACTGGAAGAAATCGTCGAATCCGTACGATTGCCGGATGGCACGATGCTTTTCGACAATTATTCAGCGCCTCCGATGATGGTAGGTTCCCAGAATAAGCAGAACGAATAGTTCCTGAAGAATGAGATCAAACAGTAATTTTTCAGCACCGAAGAAGTTATGTTTTGACGCAGGGATTTGATGGGAATCCGGAGGAACTAAGTGAGAAGACGCTGCGACCGATCTTTCGACAAAAGTGGGGAACGAAGACAAAGCTTTTCAGAGCCAACGAACGGCCTTTAACCTTTGTGACCCGGGAAGAATGAATGTTGGCGTTCAATGTATTCAGCATTATTATTGCATTATTCCGAAATAAACTTTAAGAAATAGCACGGCGGATCGGTTGTTAGATAAAAAGCAAGGCACGTTACGCAGAAGAGAACGCGGAGTGCCCAATCTCAGCCCAAAAAAGCGCTGATCGAATACCAGCGGTAAATTTATTCGCATACAAATAAAATGCACTGACGTGACTGCAATCACATTAACCTATGAGATATTAATGTAAAGAAATGCACGAGTATTTAGACAGTATCACAAAACAACGAGAATTAAGTACGATTAAGAAGGCGATCATTTTGCATGCTTCATGACGATCCATCGGCGGCCCCGCTACGGCGGCCGTTGTGGAAGGACGATCTGCCCACAGATCCGACGGACTTGCGTCGACAGCTCGCCGACGGATCCTCAAAATCAAAGTCCGCGGTCGAGCAGTAGTCGCCTGAATTCAAAATTGTTGAACATTTTATTTATCCCCTATTACCGGCGATGTCCTCAGAGTCCGGCAACAGCTCCCGCGATGGACTGTCGAATTCAAGGGCCGGTCGCGGTGCCTTGACGGCTTTTTCCAGGCGGGGCAAAGCGGTGAGGCTACGCCGAAGCCAATTTTTCCTAAAAGTGGAATGTTGAAGATGCTAATGGTAACCCACGAGCCCGAAAGCGGTGTGGTGAGAATGACGCTTTTCACTCGGTTCAGCAGTGTCGGTCGCTTGGCTGGAGTGGCGGGCGTCATGAACGAGTCCTCCGGCGAAAATTTCGGCATCTCGGCCCGTTGATCATCCAGGCGCTGTTGGGACGTCTCCAGCAGGGTGAAGAAGTCGTCGCCTTGGGGAACAGCTCGCTGCTTTCTCTGGACGAGATTTTTGCCTTTAGTGGACATTAATTTAATTTAAATTCTTAAATTATTCACTTTTTCTTAAAATTTAAATTCAATTTAATTCCATTGAAACGACCTCTTTCGACTCGCTAATCACTGGCGCTTTCTTGTCGGTGGAGTCAAACGAGCCGTTGAGGGAGATAGCAGCTGGGGCGTCGTCAAAGGTGGCGTCCAGTACGATCCGGCCCTCCGAGACTGTCAAGTGGCCCGACTGTTTCAGCTCGCGGAGGCGATCTTGTGCCAGGTTGTACGCCGCCTCATCACTGTTCTAAATGCGGAAGATAACCGGGCCCGTTTTGTATTCAGAGTGGGATTCCTTACTTTAGAACATAAACCACAAAAATCAGATCCCGGAAGAGTTTTGACAGTCTGACAGCGCGAAATTCAAACTCAGCGTACAAAACTGGCCCAGAAAACTTGTTATTCGATTAATCAGGAATTTAAATGGGTTCGAGAAACAAGGTTCCAAACCTTCGCCAAACGTTGCGTGAGCGCGTAGAAGTAGGCGGCGCTGGGGTGCAAGCCGGCGGCCAGCTGCACATCTCCGAGCATTTGGCAGGCGTTTTGCTCGCCGGCGGTGTAGTCGATTTGCCTACAGAGGGCTTTCCAATTCTTCAGATAGGATCGCGCTAAAAAAATTCTATTTGTGGATATTCAGTTCTAGTTTGTGGATATTCGATTCAATTCTAGAATTTTTGGTACCTTCGTCGAAGTCGCTCTCCTGGAAGCAAGCCGCCGCCAACGCCTCGTAATGGCGGGCCATAGCCAGTCGATCATTCAATTCCAGGGCTATGACCAGCGCCATACGGTAGCTGCTGAAATGGAGGATGGTTCAACGACGACGAAAATAAGCTTTATATTTTCTTATTCACTTACCGGATTGCATCCGTCGTGTGCCCAGTGGCCAGGTGGATGTTGCCCAACGAGGCGTGCGTCCTTCTCTGTGCTTGCTTGTCCCGGTCGCGTTCCGCAAGGAGTAAGCGCTGAAGTGACGCGCTGCGTATCACCAAAAAATTTCCCACCATGCCGTATAACCGCTTCGCGTCGTCGAAATTGGACAACAAATATTCGCATTCAGCCAAGTCGCCGAGGAAGCTGCCCGGGTGTGCTTGAATCTCTTCCGCGATCAGTAGGCCCTCCTTCAGCCTCGCGATCGCTGTCTTAATACAATCGATGGCCGCCGAGCCGATTTGATCGTCGAGTGACTTCTTCAAAGAAAATGAGAAAATGTCTTCAACGTACCATCTTGGCCTGGTAGCCGAGAATCAGCTGCTTCCCCTTCGCCTTGTAGATATTTCCCAAACAGCTTAGCGCGTCGCAACGGAGCATCTTGAACAGGCATATGTAAGTAAGAAACAATGGTCTGACCTGATCTTTGTGCTCTTCCGCCAATCGAATCGTTTTCTTCAAGTATTTTTTTGCTTCATCGGAACGAGCGTCGATTTCTTGCGCGAGACCCGCAATCTCGAAGCAAGCGACAGCTTCCGCCCGCGTGTCTCTGCTGATGGCACATCGTTCACGGATGTTCTTTAGCATCCGGATGGCATTTGTTCTGGCGTCGAGCTTCGCAGCGTGATCTCTCTCCTGGCGGGCTTTTTCAGCGTACGCTGTTGCACACTAGAGATGGATGCAAAAAAATGTAAGACACTAAAAACAACCTGACACGCTGTAGCACAAAAGATACATTTAGTTACCATTGTGTAAGCTTCAACAAGGAGGCTGCCATCGAATTCGGCGATGTCCGGGCCCTGGAGCGCGAGTCGAACGGCATCATCCGTGAAGCCTTGTTTCAGAAGCCGCAATACCTCAGTGTGTAGCTCGGCACACCTCGTCTCAGGGTCCGACATTCTGAAGCAAAGCAGCCACGCGAGACCGCAAGGATGGCTAAAAAAACTAAAGCACGTATGTTTCTCGTCACAGACTTCCGCATCAAGACTATTCCCTCGGTTATTCAAATCGGCGTCGCATCAAATCAACACGAAAGCGCCTTTTCCAGCTGTATCTCTAGAGGAATCAAGTGCTGTGACAATTGTTGAGGCTCATATGCGGTTACTATCAATGTATTTTCCAGCGAGTTTATTAGTAATAACAATTTATTAACAAGAAAAATTGACAACAAAAATTACAGCATAGAGGCTACCAACTTGTTGATCTGGTCCTCGCGGTTGCCAAAGTCACCTCCTTCGACGAAATGGTTGGTCTTCTTGGCCCATCCACCGTTGGGGTTGCTTAGCTTGAAGGGCCACAGGAAGTTGGTGGCGCGCTTGAAATTCTCCCCAACGTTGTAGATTTCGTGGACCAAGTCTTCCATACAGATGATGTCTTGCTTTCCTGAAAAAGAAAATTTATTATGGCAATGGCACCCTCACTCAGTCCGCAAGAAGCGGCGAGGTGCCCAAAGATTTTACTATCAGCCCTAGGCCAACAGATGCCTGACGGCCGTCCACCACAGTGGAAAGGGTACTTACTATCCGAAATGTCTGGATTCGACAGAACGTTCACGAATAGCACCCGGGGTTAGAAAATAATATCAAATCAGTAATACCGAGGCTTTCTTCGACGATGTCGTTGCTGGTGATGGGTGTCCTGCGGTGGTTGACCTTGGCGAAGCCGCGCTTGTAGACGAGATCGTGGACGGTCTTGAGCGATGGGTAGCCCCACGCGATGTAAGGCTCGGCGATTCGCAGCATCTGGATGGTGGCCTTGTTCAACTTGACGAAGACGCCGTTGTTGATTTGGCGCAGACGGAGCAGCTGGAGGACCTAAAAAGATAGAATTGAAAGAGCCGAGAATGCAAGAATGAGATGAAAGTGACAAAAGGTTACCTTGCGAGGGCGCGGGTGGAGCTGGTTGATACCGCGAATACGGATCACGAAGGCGAGCTTCGCTTCCTCTGGAACGTAGATGCTGCCCGACTTCTCGGCCTCGCGCTTGAGTCGGAGGTGGTCTTGCTGGCGCTTGCGGTACTCGGTGACGTATTTCTCGGCCCGCTTGAAGATCTTGCCGGTCTTCTCCTCGGCGCGCTGAAAAAAAAGGGATTTACAAGCACGAAAGAAATCCCATACCTTGGCGGCCTTAGCCTTTCCAGCCTTGATCTTCTGGCGAATTTCCGCGCGCTGCTTGCGGCGCTTCAGGATGGTCTCGGGGACCTGGGGCAGCTTCTTGGTAACAGCCATGATGTACCCTGAAAAAGATGAATGTAATGAAGAACGAGAGTAATTAGAAGTTGCAATTAGGAAAGCGAGGTAAATGAGTTGCCAACAAGATCATTTTTGGAGAGGAAAGAACTAGAAAAAGAAGGTTTAAAAAAGTTTCAACAATACGGATTTCCGTAAGCCGCGAGAGCTTGGACTCCGCTGTCTAGTTTTTGGCGGACATGACATTCCCAGAATTTCGATAGAGTAAAGTTCAGAAAACTTCTACGATTTATACGGATGTGATAGTAGGCAACGAGATAGCCTCTCCAGATCCTCCACTATACATATCGGTAAGAGTTCTACGAATATCAAAGAAAGGCGCGATAGAAATAAGAAAGACGAAAACAAATTCTTTCGAACTATCAACTGGAGAAAGACGAAAAATTGAGAAACTGAAATGAAAGGGCTCAAATCGGCCGGCGGTACCGTTTCGGCGGCAGAAAGCTAGAGTCCAGGGGGATCGTGTCGAGACCCGCGTGCCTTGTGGCTCGGTGACGCAGAGACGGTTGACCCGTGGTTCCCTCCCCCCACCTGTGCCCCGTTTGACGAATTGATTTTTTTCACCAATGCACCTTTACTCTGCGCTAACCTATCGGTGTGGCAAGTAAATCTTTCATCTCTATTTCATCTACAACTCCACCATTCTCGTCTTTAGCGCTCTTTTTCTATACAAATATTGTGAAATTGATGACTCACCTGTTCTAACAAGCAATACCTCATGTTTTTCCACTTTAGACTCTTTCCACTAGCTTTTTCCTTCCAAACTTCCATTTTTCCAGCGCATCAAGTATAACATCCTTTTTTTCAGTCCGCCTTCTTCACCATGGGTTCTCGCGACGATGAATACGACTACTTGTTCAAGGGTATGAATCAGCAAGCTTGTTTTGATCGACTGTCTTTCTTTAGTTGTATTGATTGGAGACTCTGGCGTCGGCAAATCAAACCTACTCTCCCGTTTCACTCGAAATGAGTTCAACTTGGAATCGAAATCAACGATTGGGGTTGAATTCGCTACTAGGAGCATCCAGGTGCGTTGTCTAGCTTGGTGTTTATCTTTTTTTAGGTGGAAGGAAAGACAGTGAAGGCGCAAATTTGGGATACAGCTGGGCAAGAACGCTATCGGGCCATCACATCAGCGTATTATCGTGGAGCGGTTGGGGCGCTACTTGTTTATGACATTGGTTGGTTCGATTTCGCCACCTTCTATTTTCCTGTTTTGTTTTAGCCAAGCATGTCACCTACGAGAACGTCGAACGCTGGTTGAAGGAACTCAGAGACCACGCAGATCAAAATATAGTCATCATGCTGGTCGGCAACAAAAGTGATCTTCGCCATTTACGGGCTGTTCCTACCGACGAGGCGAAGATGTATGCCGAGAAAAACCAACTGTCTTTCATCGGTAACGCTGTCTGCCTTTGCCCCAAATTTGGCTTTAGAAACGTCAGCCCTCGACAGTACGAATGTGGAAGCTGCCTTCACCAACATTTTGACCGAAATTTACCGATCTGTGTCAAATCGTGTAAGTTTCGTTTTCATTTCGAAATGTTGCACTTGGATAGAGATAGTGAACATCCGCTTCGGCATTTCGCCGGGATTGCATTTGGAAAATAGAGTCGAGATTGCGAAACCTAAGCGCATTCAGAGTAGTACTTTCAAGCCGCCTAAGCACTCGTTGCGTTACCGATTTTGTATGATAGAAGCTTCATTTCTGTCAAGGGACAAAATTTGTTTTATCAGGATCTGAACGTTTCTTGATGCTCTAATCCCCCTGCCATCCTTCCCTGTAGCCTGATTTCACTGCCAATTCCACCTTTTCAGCATGTCGGTGGTGATCGTCCTGCCGTTCCGCTCAGCAAAGGAGTCGACCTCTCTGATCGTGCGGCAGATCAACCGAAAAAGCAATGCTGCTCATCGTGAAAATACATGTGCTTTGATGAATTGTCCATTCCTCATTTTTCGCTGCATGAACATTTGTAAGATTGTCACTATAATATACGGCAACGGTTTTATTTATTGCAGAATTGAATAAATTTTCTGAACTTCAAGCTTTCCACACCAAATGACACTCGGATGAACCCAAACTTGGTTAGAATTTCTGGCACGTCGTGGTTCGACTGTTGAGGTGTGGGGCGCCTAATCTGCAGACACTACTAGGGGATGAGCGAGAGAAGAGGCCGTCCGCCAGCCAGATTCTCGCCTTCGTTAGCGGACCAGACTGGTGAACGGAGAAGCGAAGGGTTAAAGATCGTCGAAAGGTAGTTTGAGAGGCTAGTTGCTGACCAGACATTAGGGTGATGGACAACGTTCAAGCGAACGGCTGTCTGTACAACGGTCCGGCAAATCGAAGAATGAGGCCCAGGGCTCCGTGGAAGTGAGGGACGGAAAATAGAAGCCAATTTCAATTTGCTTTAGATCGATGTCGTCAACTTGGGACCTGAAGAAGCTGCCTTTGTCCCACGACCACCGCAAAGTATAGGACGAAAACGGAAGCGCCAGGAGCAAACAGTGGGAGTTTGGAAATGTTTATAGTTTTCGTAAAAGCTATGTATCTAACCGGCCTGTGTGCTCGATTACACGTGGGCTGTTTATATATAAATCCATAATAGCTGGCTATTACGATTAGTGAACGGGAACTGAGCTAGACAGAATTACAAGGGCTTGTGTATCAAAAAAGAATTGAAAAATTATTCTTGCTTAGGCGCCCGCCATCAGTCCACAGCCAACACCGACCGACGAAGAATGCATAGATGTGGCAGGGACATCGCTTGAAGAAGAACAAGAGGACCATGACTCGTCGGCTGAAAATCCCCCGCAATTAGCTCCCGCGGAAGCCATCGAGGTTTTAGTACCCGATTTGCCTGTAATTGGATGATAGAACTCCGCTGCCTACGATGCGTTGCGCTCGATACTCCCCGGCCCCACACCTTCCGGAATAGCTGCGATACATTTGTTGGTATGTTGGAGAGCCGAAACGAGCCTATTAAAATTTAGCTGGAATCGACTCAGCCAGAGCAAACCGATTACGGCGACTACTACTTGACCGTTATACCCCGGAGATTAACCGAGTTCTATCGAAAGGAAAGCGTGCTAAATATCGTTGCCAACTATGCACTCGAGACGTAAGCGCTCCTTTCCGCACTGATCTCTTTTTCAGGCGTGAACTCGGCTGGGTAAACCGCACGGCTCCGATCATCCCTCCATTTTCTGGCGAACCGGGAAATTATTTGTTTCTGGTCGACGGGTCGAAGCTGCCGCCTTCAGTGGTTTGAAAATTACGTGAAAAGCAAATTCTTTGGGCTTTCAGTTGAGACAAGATGCTCTTTCGCCGTGGAGCAGGAATAAGGACGAGATTGTAAATGGTGTGTATTGATTTTGGAAGAGTTTTTTATTTTAAGTAACCGTGGATTGATATGTATTTAGGTGTACCCAAGCCGCACACACGATGCAAGCAACGGCATTTTCCAGTGGTTATGGAGACGGGCAGGTCCGGTGGAACTGTAGTGGGACAGCTCTTTCTATTTCAGATACCAAATCGCAGCGGGCGAACGGGCCCAAGAGGCAATATATCGGCTGCACGAATACACTGCCACCCACCCGCATTGTGCACGGCTGAAAAAGCGGGTGGGGCAAGCGTTTTATGCTTTGACTCCCCGGTCGTTTAGATATATTACCTCGAGCGTGATGGGACAGTTTTCGGGAATTACATGGTGCTCTATGAATTCACGGGAACGGGCGGATACCCGAAATTGACCAAGAAAATGGAGCACATGCTCGAGATGCTCAGAAAAGTATCGTTTCAATGCAAATTACAAGCAGAAGCTTTAGGGTGACGAACTGCCACTATTGGCATGCATCCCTGGGCAGGAGACCCGATTCGCACAAATGGATACTAGCGAGCAGCTCGACATTGAGGAAATGATCGAAGTGGATGGGGATATTGAGGGAGAGGTGCTTTATATGAAACCGGCCTTCTGGATCTGGGGTTCTTTCACATTATCGGGGGAAACATCTTTGTCAAAATTTAAAGTCGCATAGTAACTTAATATCAAGTATTTAATAAATTTTGTGGTAGAATTTAACAATATTTCAACTACAAAAATCTAAAACTTTCAAAAATTAGAAATTTTGGTCATGTACGGCCATTTTTGGTCGTAAAACCTTTATTTTTTTTGTATTTTTCAATAGAAATTTGTAAAGGTTTTGCGTTTAGGAATAGAAAAACTGTTTAAAAACATTTATGCTATTTATATTTCAAATTTTGGCTCCTAAGCAAAAATTGCCCCCCCCCCCCGATAATGCAAAAGAGCCGTACCCGGAAATACACGTTTTTAGCGGAACTTTATGACCACCCGGCTTTTTAGGTGTTCATCGGCGAGGAAAGGCGCTATGCAAGTTCTGGCAATTATCAACCGTCACTCCCCGATCGTTCGGCATACCGGAAACCCGATTGGAGCAAGGAGCCGGTTCGAAATTTGCCGAATCTCATTGAACCGAATCTTTAGTTCGACGACCAAGCCCTGATTGAGATGGAGGATGGGGGCCGTTGTGTTCGTGCTTTCACGCCCGCCTGGGCTAAAGAAAAGGTGTCCCTGCTGAAGTTCTTGGTGAACGAGCCGGGGTCGATGTAAGACTATGAAACTGGCTCTTAGATTTTTTTTAGAAAGCCTGAGTGGATATCCGAGCAGAAGCCCTTCCTGCCGCCGCTTGTCGAGCACACGACGGCCTTCGTCTTCTTCGTTGAGACGGCCAATATTGACTTTAGTGAATTGACGGCGGACGGTTTGGTGCCGTGGACCGGAAGTGGTTTGTTGTCAAATCCTGATTTCACTGTATCCTAGGTTGCCACTCAAAAACGCGGAAGCTCGGGCTAAAGAAGACGCCGGACGGGTCTTGGACGGTGGAATCGTGTAGAAACTGGAGGCGCTATGATACGGTGCTGGTTGAGTACTCTTCGACGTTGGGCCGTTGCCCGCGGCTGAGGAAAAGGGTTCGTTTTTGCTTTTCTATTTTTGACATCTTTCCAGATATTTTACGTTCGCAGTCATGGGTTGCCAATTGGACGCTGTATTTTCTCGTACGAGTACCTGGAAGATGGGCCCATCCCAGAGCTGGACAGGGTACGCAAAAGATGGAGGATAATCAAAAATTCTATAAAAAGTCGAGGAGAGAAATGTTTTTCAGGAATTTCTGGCCAAAAAGGACCGAATCGACAACATGCGAGTACAACGTAGGATCATTGAAAGAGAGAAGCAAAGTGGGCAAATCATACAGAATTCTAAGATTCTTCTAGATGCTCTGTTTCCCGATTATCTTTTGAAGCCCGACGAAATCGATCGCGAGTTTGAGCACGAGGAGGTTATTATCGGGAACAGAGGGGTCGAGGTATCACTGTTCCGCACAAATCAGATTAACGGTTTGATTTTCAGATAAATCCAGTGGCCGTTGGCTATCGTGGGCTACAAGCCGGTACGTCAGCTGAGGCCGCGCAATGGGCTGAAGAGGATTTCCCGGGTTATGGAGGCGAGACACCCCTGGAGTTCGAGGTACAAAAGTTTGCTTTTTGGGATGTCATTATTCCGGTTCTGAGCGTGCCGAGTTTTTCTTAACGTTTTATAAATTATTGTTATAAAGTTTTAGTAGTTTTTGATAAAAAAGCATCATTTTTCAACGAGTTTGATCCAAAATAAGAATTTGTTCGGAATTTTAATAATCTACATCGTCTTTCTGTACTTCAAAACCGCCTGAAAACTATATAAATAGTGTCTTTTATTATCTCAGCACCTCGCGGGCTACCGGTTGAGCAAAGCGGGCGATATCTGCGTGCGTATATCCGACCCAGCTAACTTCTTGCAAAGGCCCACCCTTCTCGATCACCTCGTCAACGATGCGCAGAAATTGTGGGTCTTCCGCTTGGAGAAATTACTTTTCTAATAGGGCCGATATTGGGCTGGTGCAGGGCAGAAAGCCATCCATGGTGCCGTTGACGACGCAAGACGGGGCATTTGCCTTTTTCTTCAATTCGACCGCAGCCGATAGACCCGGGTTGTATCGCGATGCGCTGAGCCCCTGGAATAGCTCGCCGAAGGAATCTGGTAAATTTTTTTTGATCGACCACGAGAAGCTCGAAATTTTCAGATGAAAGTTCTTCGTCGACGAAAACACAGCGAGCCGCATTACGAAAGGCCGGAGATAGGCTTGTTGTGGCCGGGAGTATTCGGGTTTGTGATCCATTACTTTTCTTGTCATGTATTTCCTAGGAACGCTGCGACACCAGCGCCGAATCTTACCTCTGTGAGCACAGCGTAACACACTTCAAATATCCAAGGCTACGCCGGAAGGTACGTTTTTGGGACCTTTCGCATTACCCGGGGGGACTGCACTTTGTTGTTAGTCTAGACATGTCTGAGAAATTAATAGGAAGCGTTAATGGCGTTTTTAGTAAAATATGACGTTATTTCAACTGGAAAACTATCTAAATGCTTGAAAAATTTTTTGAAAGCGTCGAAATTTGGTCGAAAAATATATATTTTCGATATATATTCTAAAATTTTATGCATTTAGGTATAATAAAAACCGTTCAGAAACACTCCTCCATTTATGTTTAAAATTGGATCCTAGATTAAGTTGCCTTCTGCCCGATAATGCGCAAAAAAAAACCGTTTTTTGACCTAATGCCGATCCAACCCTTTCAGATATTTTTTTGTGGTCACACGCGATGAGCAGTTAATAGGGAACGTCATCATTCTATACCTTTATGCGGAAAAAGGGGCCCTACCCGCCTTACCATCCGGCTCGACGCTTGCGAATGTCGAGGTGAAATGGCTTAACCGTTTGCAACTGTTTTTAGTTCGTCCAGATCTCGGAGGAGACGCCAATCTACGACCTGCTCGACGTGGTGGACACGATCCAGTTGATGCCAAACGCCCTCTTCGCCCGGGTGCTCGATACCAGGCTGCTGCACGACAAGCGACGAATTTTGGAGCTGGCCTTCAACCAGGCGGCCACTGTGTAATTTATCTCGCCTTGATCCAATCGCTTCTAGGTCGGAGCTCGGGCTGCTCAACGACAAGGTCCCCGGCATGCCCCCGCAGACTCAGATGACCGGGTGCTTCGTTTGCTTCGTCGACACGAAGTCGGGCGCGCTGGTTGATCAGCGACAATTGACCATCGACGCGTTGGCACCGTGGAGCGAAGGGCAACGAGGTCGGATCGGAGCTTCGGACCTGGATACAAACTTTTAGGCGCCGCCATCTTCATCCGCCCAAAATACAAGCGCTACCAGCTGTACCGCAGCAACGAGAACGCGCGTCGCCTGGAATTATGCTGGAACGCAGGGGAAGCGGCTGTCGAAGATAACGCCTCCGAATTTTCGCTTGTCGTCTATACAGCCACGCTGCCGCGATGTCAGCGCCTGAAGAAGCGGGTTAGATTTTTCTATTTTTTCCTTTTACGTATTTTTCTAGATCTACTACGTGATGTGTGGGCGTTGTTTGGTCGGGAATGCCGTCATTTTCTACAACTACGAAGTTCCCGGACCTCTGCCTACCGAGGTATGCAATACAACAAATTACGCCATTAATTGATAGGTGGCCCATGGAAATGTGAGGCGACAGTTGAAACCGGAAGTCGCGATTTGCCCATCCACGCAACCCCAGAATTTCGACTTCTACCGCCACCGCATCGACATACACAAGTTTTTTCAAGGTCAGAATAAACGGTTTAAAACAACGAATTGGAAAATATTGATGTCTTCAAACATCTGGGTATCTAAATAAAATAAAATCGATCAAAAATGATGTTTATCGTTTTTAGATGCTGAAAAATGACGAGCTGGCCGAGAAGGGCGAGTGGAAAATCGAAAAACGAAACCCGGACCAAGCTGGATCGTCATCGGAAGAGCAGGACAAAATAGTCAGTAAATTTTTAGTATCCTTCTTCTATCCTCGTTATTGTTCATGTATTTAAAGATTTCTTTATTAGCTATTTTTAATAACATTCTTTATTATTGATTTTTATATCTTTTTATCAACTATCATTTTAGGTGGCCCCACTGAACCTCGTCAACGCCGAGGTTCAGAAACGGGGTGAACGCCGTCCTCGACTTTGCCGCCTTTCAGTTCAACTGCGGTTCCGAAAAAGAGGTTCGGAAGCGCTTCAAATGTTTATCTAGAATTTTCAGGTGCTAGACGTGCTCTTTCGCGTCCTGGTGCAGCGAAACGAGACACACTTGCTGCAGAACGTGCGCGACGAGTACGGCATCGAGATTCTCACGCAGGAGGAACCGCTCGACGTCGCCGGCGAGAACCCCAAATAGTATCTTTAGAATTCGTTGATCTCATTTTTTGTTCGGCGAATAAAGCATGATCTCAGCACTTACACTGGAGAGTTGATGCACGATATTTATTAGTTGTCTACCGAGACAATGATATCGCCATTCTCGTCAAAATTCAGGTCCTTGAACCGGGCAACGTTCCTCCGCTTTTCCACCTGGATTTGCTCGTACACCTTTCGGATGATGGGTGTGTAGAAAGGGTTCGCGATTTTTGCTAAATTTAAAGGGACTGGACTGTTAGCGGGGGGGGGGGATAATTTTTGTTTTTTTTAAGCCTGTATCTACTTGTCGATAATATAATATTTTTATAGAGATTCGATAGTTTTTTGAATTCTAGAGAGTTACATACATAAAAATTGTTGCCCCTTTTGGCTGTTTTACATAGATTTTTGTTCAAAAAGTCCAAAATGTTCCAAATTGTGATCATTTCACGATTAAACGTTTCCTTACTGAGCCATCCGGGATTCCCGCTATTCCCCCCCCGCTAACACGCCAGTACCAATTTAATGATTTTAAAATTTCGAAAAACCCTTACCTTTCCGTTGCAGCTCATCGTAATAATCCCACTGGTCGTCGGCCAACATGTGATAGTGCCGGAATGGTCGTTGGCCTAATCGGCTGGATTTTTTTGATTGTTTGTAGTTTTTCGGTTCTTACGATAGTTGCCTTCCCTCCCATGCATCCATTTCCGGTTCGCTAGGGACGTCCGCTTTTCCCTCGACCAAGGATAAGCCGTACAAAGCCTAAAGAAGGTTTTACGAGTCAAAAAAGTAGAAAAAGTGATGTCCACGCCCACCTGTGAATTGAATGCTGTGAAAAGCGCGGCGATGAAGTTGAGCCCCGGGAAAAAGAGCGAAGTCGGGTAGTGGCGATGGACGAAATGCTGGTAGAGCGGTTGAACGACTCGCCCGGAACCGACGACCTCCACCAACCCCTCCGGCAAGAACGGGTAACTGAAACCGTATTGTTTTTGATAACATATAGTGTATTTCTTGCAGTGTTTTTAGCAGTTTTCGGTTGTCACACATCGAAAAATAATTCAAAATTCGAAGATTATGATATTTTTCCTAAATTTTTGAACAAAAGTTTAGGATTTTTTTGATTTTTTCTATAAACTTTCTAGATCGAAAAGCTATTTAAAATGGCATATATTTCGTTATAGGGCCGTACGGGACTCCTCGGAAAAATTGTTTTCCTCCCCCGCTAACAGTTCAGTTCCCGGCAAACCTGCAATGGTATCCGGTGCTGATGATGATGTGATCGACCTCGCGCTCCTCGTGGATTGTCAGCACGCCCTTGGTAGTGATTTTAACGACTTTTTCGTCGATCTAAAGAAGTTGGAACACGACGATTAATGAATTAAAATAACTAACCTGCCTCAAATTTGCCGGGAACCCGTGTTGTTGCTGCTCCTGTTTGCCGAATAATAGCACCTAGGGGAATGTAATTTGTTTTAGCCGAAATTCCCTGACCTCCTTGGCCACGTCAGCAACCTGTAGACCAATATCGATGCCCGAGAAGCCGGCACCGATGATGGCCACCCGAGAACCGCGGTAGGGCGTCGTGGTGCGGTAGTCGTGGCTGTGGATTAGCGAACCATCTTAAAAAATGGGCTTACTATTAGAGGCGCTATTACATGCTTTATTCATTTTATATCAAAGTTTACGAGTTTTGGGGAGCCATAAAAATTAAAAACCCACCAAAAGCCGTTGTATCGAAGGGTTGATAGGGCAGGAAAAAGTGGCCGTTGCAGACGAAGAGCGCATCTAGGACTGTCACTTCCGGCCGATCTTCTTTTGTTTTGCTGGTTACCTAAAAAAATAATTTTCTTGTTTTGGGGTGCATTTTACCTCCCAAACATCTTCCACCCTTCGAACGCTTATCACCGCGGTGTCCAGCTTGACGGGGATGTCTTTGGCATACGCTTGGAGGTACTGGAATGTTATTATAACTATAAAAACCGACGAAAATGGCAAAATTAGGCGAAATTTAGCTCAAATCCAACTTGCAGTACATGCTGATGCTCGCAAAATGACGGAATATCCTTGGGGAACGGGAAATCCGGAAAGCACATCGATTCTTTTGAGAGGTTCACTCTAAAAAGGTATTAAAAACTCCTATATGCTAGCAATAAAACTATCAAAACTTTTTTAAAGAGGAATCCGTTAAAATCAGAGAAATTCTTGCAAACACGCACCTCAACACCTCGTACATGCTGGAATGCGTGCCGGTTTCCGGGCGGTAGACCCACGTGCCGCCGATCTGCTCGCACTGTTCCCACACCAAAAATTGCACTTTAAACGTTTGTTTTAAAAATCTTACCGTAACCTGATGGCCCCTGGCGAGCGCGTTTCGAGCCACACACAAGCCACTCGCCCCCGCGCCGATCACCCCGATGTGTGGCATCAAAAAAATAAAAATGACTTATTTTTGCTACATAATTATGTGTTTCTAAACCGTATGTTACTGTTTCCGAAGGTCAAAACGCCACATTTTGAAGTAAAAACGACACAATTTTCGACCAAAACTAATTGATTTTTGACAACAATCTAATTTTTAAATTTCTAGAAGTTTCCTGGATGGTTTTTGCACTTTAAGTCTAGTTAATTTTACTAAAAACACCATTAAAATACTTCTTACGTGGTTAGGAATTTCTGGATTTTTAAGAAAAATTCGGAACTGATAATGAAATAGATAATGAAATAGATAATAAAATATTCTTCAATCGAAAATTTACGCAACAAAAAAATTACTAAAATGGATAGGAAGTGACAGAGATTTTAGACAAAACACAAAAATTTGCTCGAATTTAAATTTAAATCACGATGTCTCACGAACTCACATTTAAATCATGCCAGCTGGACGGGCAGGTTGGACCGAAAAAACGGAAGGCTATAAATAGGTGGTGGGCGCGATGATAACAGAGGAAGAAAGGAAGAAGGAAGGAGATTGTGAGAAAGAAAGGGATGTCGGCCCGGTTGAGCAATCTGTTCGTGAAGTGGGAATGTATCTAGTATGATTTCTATAGAGTCTGGATGCACTCACACTAAAAGAAGGGCAGCTTGGCTTGATAAAATGAAAAAGGCTGCGGATGCGGGTGTAAGCTTTTTAAATGGAAAATGGTAATTTTCAATATTTACGCTAGATAAAACGAAAAATTCGTGACGTCTTACGCTGTTCAAGGTCAAGTCAAAACCTAGGCTAAGCCTAAGCCTACGCATCAGCCTAAGCCTTACCTAAACATGAGCCCGGGTAAACCTAAGCCTAAGCCTAAGCCTGCCTAAGTCTAAGCCTGAGCCTAAACCCAACAACAAGTCAACCTAAGCCTAAGCCTAATCCTAAGCCCAAGACTAATCCTAAGCCTAAACTCCTAATCCCAAGACTAAGCTTAAGCCTAAACCTAACCCAAGCCTAAGCCTAGCCTAAGCCTAAGCCAAGCCTAAGCCTAAGCTTAAGCCTGATCCTAAGCTTAACCTAACCCCAAGCTGAGCCAATCTAAGCATAAGCCTACACCGCGGCCCGCCGCCGAAGCCTAAGCCGAAACCCGAGCCAACATATGCCTAAACTTAAGCCTAAGCCTAAAAACATCAAGCCTAAGCCTAAGCCTAAGCGAAGCCCATGTGAACCTACGCCTAAGCCTTACAAGCCTAGGCTTAAGCCTAAGCCCTCCTTACTGGCTATTACTGGTCGCAACCAAGTCGCACCACTGCTCAAAAACATCGCTTTCTTCTTGTTTCTATTCCGTTGCTCCAAACTCCCCCGTTTTTCGAGTACCCCCCCGCGCCGCGCACGAGATCCACCCAATGAATAGCGGGGCGCTTTTGCCGAGCTTTTGCCGAGTTGAATGACTGAGCACGAACTGCGCTGAGCATGAATGAATTCTGCATCCCCCATATTCATCATCAGACATTTTGGGGGTGCTAGTGCAAAATTTTGCAGGTTTTTTGATGTTCTGGTAGATTGGCTGCGACCCATTAACCCCCCGATAATGCAAAAGTACCCTCTTTTTGCAAGTAAGATTTTGGCAGGCTTTTCGCTTCGCTTTGAAGTTGGCAAGCAGCCAGCTGGCGTTTACCTGAAGCTGGTCTGGCTACCGGCATGGGTTACTAGTTTTGTTCGTTCAGCACGGGCAGTGACTTCTGGCAGGCAGCCTATTTTCTCAAAGGATCTCTCCTAGCATTTTTAATAAACTAGCAAAAACATTTTTTATACCTTATACAAATTTATATTCTACAACACGAAAATATCGATTTTTCGACGAAAAATTGCAGATTTTCGAGTTTTTAAAGGCTTTTAACGTTTTTAAGATGATTTTTGCCACTTTGAAATAGTTGATAATTTCTTAAAAGTATTTTAATACTTATCCCTAGGTTATTAGACCTTTACTTATACAAAAAATTAGTTCCCCTCCCCCGATAATGAAAAAGCACCTCTCAAAGATTGCTGCCTGCCCGCTTTCCGGTCCCTTTAAAACCATCTTAGAAGGTCAGCTATCTACTACTTTAGAAAAAGATGTAAAAACTTTCTACTAGATACTTTAGGAAGAATCTCCGATAATGCATAAGCACCAAATTCCCTAGTCAGTCATCATCATCAAGCAGTTCGGCTGCCACACGACTCGCAACTTTTTGATTTTTGCTGTTCCCGAAGAAAGGCCCAAAAATCGTTCTTTTCGCGGGTTTCCTATCGACGGGCTTCCCCCCTCGGAGGCTAAATGATAGGCTTTTCTCCCTCCTTTCCCCTAGTCCTTTTTTGTATTATTCTGTTGGGGTGGTGGGTGCTATGAGTGGGGGGTCCGTGGCAACCGGTGGGTTGATAGGAACCGCCGGGGGCTGAGACGAGACAAATGGGGCCCTCTAATTGGCGCGGGGGCCCGGGGCCGTGTGGCCTTTCTCCGGTTTTTTTCTCATCGGAAAAACTCACCGGTATCGACTGTAGACTTTGTTAGTGATTTGTTTGGTGCTTTTGCGTTATCGGGGGGGGGGGGTTTCTAGCAGAGATCCTTTTGGAAATGACGTAAAGCTAGCGGTAATCTTTGAGGGACTTGGCATTTTTGGAGGAAGACTTAGGCCAAATGACCAGCAAAGTAAGCATTTTAAGATTCTTTTGGGGAAAATTTAACTATCTGCCAAGTGAAACAAAATCTAGAAAACTTTCAAAATTTCAAAAATTTTAATTTCGATTGAAAATCGGCCATTTTTGGTAAAGAAAAATCGATTGTTTTGTATTTTTTAGTAAATTTTGTACCTTTTTTGCGCTTAGAAGTAGTAAAAACAGCTTAAAAACACTGCCACTCGCTATATTAGAAAAATTGGATCCATAGCAAAAGACCTCCCCCCCCCCGATAATGCGAAAGCGCCACAGGTTATTATTATATTTTTTATGCTAATTTTCTATGACGCCACTTGCCATTCAATTTCTATGCAAATCACTCTCTCGCGTTCCCCGGGGCAGATTATTTCCGTTTTCGATCCTTTTTTACGGCCCGCCACACCGATTCGGCACGCCAACATTTGCAATTCGATTACCTGTGGGCTGGCAAATAGGATCGAACACTTTTTTACGAAAGCATTAACTGAGATAGCCTACTCCTCAGCTGAACCTAAACTTATGCCTAAAGCTAAGCCTAAACCTAAGCCAAGCCTAAGCCTACGACTACGCTTAAGCCTAACATACGCTTAAATCTAAGCCAAGCCTAAGCTGAACATTAAGCCCACCCCTAAGCCTACGACTACGCTTAAGCCTAACCTACGCTTTAACCTAAGCCTAACAAGGAGACGTTTTTTGGTGTGAATGGAGTTCTGAGTGGAAACCAGGTCTATCTTGTGCAGAATTTTGCGCTGATTCCGAATATGTATTCCATTTCTGCTAAATAGCTCGATTTCAAAAGTTATGGCAATTTTAAGACCATTTTAGCCCAAATTTTCCCCTCTTTAGGGACCATTATATTGCTTTTCCCGGCTGTTTTTCCAAAAATAAATATCGTCACCGTATTCAGAAAAATTTTCTCTATCGAATGAGCTATTTAACTCAAAATTGTTGAAAATCGAAAAAATTGACGACGATATGGGCTGCGATTTTTGTATGGGAAATGGTGAAAAACAGCCTATTTCTCACCCCTGTAAGCCATCGTCGATCGGCAGTAGCGCACTAAACAAATATATCATTCGAATCAGAAAAAAATTCTCTACAAGATAGGCTACTTAAACAAAATTGAAACGTTGTAACAAAAAAGTAGCACAGCATAGCATATGGCTACTTTGGGCCTAAAAATTATCTTAAAATAGCTGTAACTTTTTAAATCGAGCTATTTAGCAAAATTGGAAAACAGCATCGAAATCAGCGCAAAATTCTGCACAGAATAGGCCTGGTTTCAACTTGAAACTCGATTCACACTAAAAAACGTCTCCTTGTAAGCCAAGCCTAAGCCTAAGCATAAGCCTAAGCGTACGTAAGGCTAAGCCCAAGCCCAGTCCAGGCCAAAATCTTGAATTTTCCCAACTACCGTAACCCCCAGTTACCATAACCCACCGGCAGCTGGGGGCTAATTTCGAGATTGGCCTGAGATTTTTGAGGTGTTGGAGGCAAGACCAACTACATTTCCGCTAATTTCCGGCCGCTGGCAAGGGCAAAAAGTGCCGGGGTGCCCGCGAAATTGGCGGGCTGGGCTCAATTTTTTTCGGGGCTGATGTGGGATACCTAGAAATCATTGCTACGATTTGGTAGGTTGCGGAGTTACGCGTCATATTTTAGTATATTTTTCGAAAAATTGCAAATTTCCTCAAAAATCCCTGCTGGTCTGCCCTCATACAGCTGAGTGCTCTCCTAAAGAGTTTCTGCTAGCCTGCCATAGCTATGGAGGCACGGCCGTCATCGCTAGGGCCTAATTTTCGACAAAGAAACGCTGCTAGTCTGCCCTTCCCGATTTAAAGGGCGCGTTAAAAGGCCGTCCGCCAGTCACTCGAACTGTTCCCATTATGGCTTGGCACAGTTTTTTTCGACCCTATTTTTATGATGCCATCTGAAAGAGCGTGTCCGAATTAGTAGGGTGGCATTCTTTTGAAAGTTTAAAAAGTTTATTTTTGGGGTTTAAATGGCCGTTAAAGTTGCCGACATCGAAAACCTATCTCGAAAGTTACTGGACCAAACTTGCTGAAAGTTTGTGACAATACCTAATTTAGGATGGAGATCATTTCTCTAATACATTTTGAAAGCTGAAAATGGCCGGAACATAGGAATCTCGCGTACTAAAAACGGTTTTTTAAGATTTTCTATTTAATGAGAAATCGGCGGCATCCTGAAAGTAACATAGAAAGATGCGCCAATTTTTTCTACGTTGAATGATGTGTCTTTTAGGATGCCGCCGTTTTCCCATCATCTAGAAAAGTCGTGACCTCTGGAATGAACAAACGTGGCCTTAGAAGATCGGGGGCTGAGAATGAGAAATATAACGATTGCGGAAAGCATCTAGAGATCAATGCCACCCATGATCAAGAAAGAGCAAAATTAAATTCCTCATCTACACGAAGTTGATTACGGAGGGGAATCGAACCCGCGATGGTCCGCCTGGGGGGCTCTGGGGACAGAGGCTAGAGCTCTTAAAAAACCGTTTTTAGTGCGCAAGATTCTTATGTTCCGGCCATTTTCAAGTTTTGAAATGTATTAGAGAAATGATCTCCATCCCAAATTAGGTATTGGCACAAATTTTCAGCAAGTTTGGTCTAGTAACTTTCGAGATAGGTTTTCGATGTCGGCAACTTTAACGGCCCTTTAAACCCCAAAAATCAACTTTTTAAACTTTCAAAACTATATGGCCCCACTAATTCGATTATGTTCTATCCCATGGCGTCAAAAAAAAACAGGGTCGAAAAAAACTGTGCCAAGCCTATTTCGGCCCTGCCGCAAACGGCCTTTTAAGACATTTCCTAAATGATCTCAGCTAGTTTGCCTTTATCTAGGGTAGATTTCACTAAGATAAAACAACGAAGTTTTTTAAATAGTTTTTTTTTCGCTATTCCTAAACCTGAAAACTTAACAATTTTCATTAAAATTTACGAAAATATCGATTTTTCCACCAAAAAAAGCCGATTTTTGAGAAAAGTTTGGAATTTTTACATTTTCAAAATTTTTAGCTAGTTTTTCGGCTTGAAATAAAGTTATATTTCACTAAAGACACTATCAACTACTTGATAGTTAATAACTAGACATTTCTCGGCGTTAGAAAAAAAATATGTTCTGCTGATAACACCCCCCCCCCTTCGATAATGCAAAAGCACCCCAATGATCCCTGCTAGCACGTCCGTTTTCTCGTCTTCCCAGTCCCTTTAAAGATTAAATACGAAAATTTTCAGGGGTTCCCGCAAAGAACCTTTGCTAGCCTACCCGCCTTTCCAGTCCCTTTAAAAAAGGGGCAAATCAGTTGTGGCTCGTTGCGCCACCCCGTCCCGTCGTCCCGATAGCAAATGTGGTTATGTGTTGGCGGGGGGCTCATGGCCTCTGGGCCATGGCTTCTCCCTCCATTTTTTTGGCTTTTGCTCACTTCTTCTATCCGCTCCATTCTATTCCTTACCACCCGCCTTCTCAACCCTTATCTCATCTGGGTGCTCCTCCTCCCCTCCCCCTCATGCTCCCCTGACTGCAACTAGTATCGAAAAGAAGCGCTCGGATTCCGTTCCACACACATTGAGCATGAGTTTCTGAGTCAGGCTTGGTAAACCGAAGCCTAGGCTAAGCCTGAGTGAAGCCTAAGCTAAGCCGAAGCGAAAGCCTAAGCCTAAACCTAAGCCTCAACCTAATACTAAACCTAAGCCAAGCCTAAGCCTAAGCTTTAGCTTGTTCATGGCCCGAGCATAAGCCCAAACCTAAGCCCAAACCTAAGCCCAAACCTAAGCTTAAATCTAAGCCGAAACCTAAGCTTAAACCTAAACTTAGGCCTAAGCCTAAGCCAAGTCGAAGCCAACCCCAAGCCTAAACCAAGTAAGCCTAAGCCTTACTTTGTGTGCTTTATTTAATCTTTTTTCTGCCTTTTCAGGGTTTTTTTGGGATGATGCCAAAACTGGGTGTGGCCTATCCCCCCGGATAACAAGCCGGCATTGTGCCCCGACTTCCTGTGGACCCATTTCGGCAACTTCTTGCCTTTTCTTCTTCTTGATTCCCCACTTTTTTCGGGATTCCGAGTGAGTACGGGCCAACGGCAGGCCGTATTCGCTCGGAATGGAAATTTTTCGCGAAGCCCACCGCCCCATCTCGGCGGTGGATCACCCTTTTATGGCACTCATTTTGGCTCTGTCTCTCTCCCTCTCGCTCTATCTCTCGCTCTCTCTTTCTCTGTCTTTTTTCAGCGGTGTGTGCCATGAAAACCCCATTTCACCGGTAGCCCCCCTGCATTTTACGGTTTTCGGCGGTTTTTAAAGGGGTTGTGACACGGACTGAAGTTCGGAATCCGGAATTATGCAAATTCTCTGTAAAAGTTACCGCATTACTTAATTAGCCTGAGTTCCAGTCATAATGCCGACAGCTGAAATCCCGACATATTTTTGACGCTGGTTTCATGTCACGTCTTTTCAAAGAGAGGTGCTGTCGGTATTTTCCCCTCGCAATTTGCCTTGTCGGGATTTTGGCGATCGTGATTTTGACCTGTCGGGATTTTGGCCGTCGGTATTTTGTCCTCCGAAACTTTCGCTTGTCGGGATTTGGGTTGTCGACATTTTGGTTTTCGTGATTTTGGCGTACGGCGCGTTGTTTTCTTCCCGAAGAACCATAACCGTAACCAAAATTGCGGTTGATCGTCAAAAATTGTTTTCTGCCACATACCGTATCTTCTGTATTTTTTGACTATGGTACATTACAGCCGCTGCTGTCCGCCCGGGCCGTCCATAGGATGGCCCCGTCGGCTCAGCTGTGCTGTTGCCGCCACGGTAAGAAGAAGCCGCTCACGGAAGGGATTCGAAGGTCTACGGAAGTGGGAACGATGGTGAGTTGTGGTGTGGCTTATAGTTTATGTACTGTAGGTGCTCAACGTCAGCGGCAAGTACGACCCGCAGCTCATCACGGCGAATCCAGTACCTGGGCCGCTGAATGGAGCGGTGGCGCATAAGGTGGGACGAGTTTTTGGGGGCCGGCTAGCAGAGATCATTAGAGAATCGAGAGCAGGCTGACAGAGATTATTGAAGAGGAGAGAGAGCACGATAGCAGAGATCATTCAGGAAGCGAGGGCAAGATAGCAGAGATCATTCATCCCTCTTTATTCAGAGCAATGGAGCATCACGCCGCCTGTCCCAACAACCCGCCGACCCCATCGAGTCCACCAGCGCCTTCATCCAGTGCGACGATTACGTGAGACGATTGCAAGAGCGACCGATCGAGGTTTTTGACAGTATCCGCCCCTTGAATGGTCCTTTAAGACGAAACCAACTCTGGCCCTGGATCGCCCGATCGCGGAGCTGGCCTACGATGAATCGGGGAGATGGGAGACGGCGAGGACAAGCCGGGGAGAGGCCGTGAAGTGGGTGGCTAGCAGAGATCATTGTGGAATCGGGAAATTCAGGGAAATTTTGGTTTTACTAAAACGTTTTAGGGACCATTTGTCGATGAAGGAGCTGATGCGGCAGGTTCGGATTGAAGAAGGGTTGCAGGTAAGAGATATGGTTTTTCTCTGCTTCTCTCTCTCTGTCTCTCTCTCGCTCTCGCTCGCTTTCACTCTCTCTCCCGCTCTCTCTCGCTCTCCATAGCTCCCTTTCTATCATGCGTCTCGATTTCTCGTGCTTTAAAGCTCCCTCGCTCTCTCGCGCGCGCTCTCTCTCTCTCTCTCTCTCCTTTCTCTCTCTTGTCATTTTCCTCTCTTCAGGTCACACCTCGTCCATCCATCAGCGAGACGGTCGTTATGAGTCGTCGTGCCACCCTCCAGCCCGGCGGCACCGTCAACATGCACGAGACGTACACCATCTACGAGCAGAACGAGACCATGGCTTCCGGTAGGTTTTAAGGGCTACACACTACAAGCTCAGGCTACGGCATTGGAAGAAGATTCTTTCCAGCAAGCGTGACGGAAATCGATCACCAACTCGGCTACGTGAACGGCTTCCTGACGCTGGTGCCCCCGAAGCGGGCCGTCTTCAACGAGAACGGCGATATTTCGGCACGGCCTGCGGAAGTGGCGCTGGATATGGAGGCGCTGGACGCGAGATATGTTTATGGGGGAAAGGTGGGTGGTTAGGGCTATGGCTAAGCCAAGCCTAAGCCTGAACCGAAGCTGAAGCTTGGCCTAGCAAGTAACAGATAATTAATACATTTTTTAGATCCCGACCGTCTCCGAGTCGATCGACCGTCGGGAATTTAGCCCGCTCACTTATCCAAGGCCGGAAACCGGACAGACGGCGTTGATCAAGGCAGTGACGGCCATACCACAGGTGAGGAACTTAAGCTAAGGGAAGCTTAGCGAAGCTAAGCCTAAGCTAAGCCTAAGCTGAGCCTAAGAGAAGCCTAAGCTAAGCCTAAGCTAAGCTAAGCTGAGCCTAAGCTAAGCCTTAGCTAAGCCTAAGCTAAGCCTAAGCTCAGCCTAAGCTAAGCCTAAGCTAAGTGTAAGCCTAAGCTGAAGCCTAAGCCAAGCCGAAACTCAAGCCCATTTCCAGACCCTCGAGACAGCCGCCACCGTCATCTACACGTACTGTGTGACGATGCTCGCCTATTTGATGAGTTTTGTGTGGAAATGATAGATTCGCTGTGATTACTGTGTTTCCGTTTTGATACGAAAATACGATGCAATACGGGTAATTTGATGATCGCCAAAAAAATGTGATTCCCCCGCTGCTGTGACCAAATTGATTTACCATAATTTGATGAGGATAAAGGATTTTGAAGGAAATTGGAGAGAGAAAGATAGAGAGAGAGAGAGAGAGAGAGTGAAAGACAGAGAGAGAGAGAGAGAGAGAGAGAGAGAGAGAGAGAAAGAGGGGAGAGAGAGCGAGAAAGTTAGAGAGAGAGAGTGAAAGAGAGAGAGAGAGAGAGAGAGAGAGAGAGAGAGAGCGGGAGAGCGAGAGAGTTAGAGAGAGCGAGATAGAAGAGAGAGATAGTCAGAGTAAGACGGCCAGAGTGAGAGAGAGAGAGAGAGAGAGAAAGCGTGTCGGCGAGAGCATGAATCAGCCGTCAAAATATAAACTTCGCAAAACTGAAATAAAGCTAAATTCTTCCAATTTTTGACATTATCGAAACCGAGTTTTTGAAGTTTTTTTCACTTTACTACTTGTCTATTATTTATTCTGCATTTCATGCCGCGCAGCTCGATCTCCTCTCGTACACGTGCCCTCTTGTTTACGTCTATTTTTGTTGTTCTTTCTCCCCTTTTCCGCTTCTTTTCTCTTTGCGGATGGGGGCGCTGGGCGCGGTGCCAAAAAGAAGGCTGTTCCCCCTCTTCGGCCCCACGCCTAGAAACTCTGTTTTCCCCCAATTGCAACCTACCCAAAAAATCGACCCCAACTTTCCGATTGGTCCTGTTTTTATTGGAAACAAGCTAAAACTACAAAGTGCCATTTTTAGCGAATTTTTCAAGCCAAAGTGATGTCGCAGAAGACGATGCCGAAACTGGTGAGGAATTGCGAAATTTCTGGATTTTGGTTTTTGAAGTTTAGAACCTAAACTTGAATTCCGACCAAAATCCCGACAGCCGAAATCCCGACAACCAACATACCGACAGCCAAAATCCAGACATATCCCTGACGCTAGTTTGAATGCCACTTGCTTTTAAAAAGCCATTTTCCGTGTCTGGATTTTGGCGGTAGGGATTTTAGCTGTCTTGGTTGTCGATATTTTTACTGTCGGGATTTCGGCATTTTGCCCCGAAATTCTTTTCGTTTAGAAGTCAATTGCAAGCCGCGATTAAGAATCGCTATTCTTACCACAAAATCGGGCGTCAAGTGGAGCTACACGTAGCTTACAAAAGGTTTCTGTACATTGATATTGTAAAATAAAGTATTTTCTGACGCTTTAAAAGATTTACGACATTATAGCTCAATTTTGGAGGCAAAAACAGGTTCTCGACACGTGGATGGCTTTTTGCATAATGAAAAACAGGTTTTTACGTTTCAAAACTTGGGTTTTTTTATTTAAATTCTGAAACATAAGTTAAAGAATGCAAAACTCTGCTATTTAAAGCCCAAAAGGAGCAAAATTACCATAATATTTTTAATAAACATTTAATTCATTGTTTTGTCAGTTGATAAACGCCGTTAAAATTCTAAAACACACTCGATTCACGGTGTTGTGACTCAGTTTATGACCCAGCCCCCCCAAAGATGAGACATTGATTCGTTTTGAGCGAATGCTCCGTTCAACCGTTTTACACTCCAGGGCCCCTGGGCCCTTAGACCCCCCCAAGGGCCCACCTCGCCCCCTGAACTTTCACCAATTTCACCGACTTGCCCTAGCTGCCGAAGTCCATTTTATTTACGTATTGAAATTATAGATTTGGGGAAATATTTTTCTCTAATGCCTAGTGGTCCAGGAATTCCTAGTGACGTAATAGTATGCGTTTTTAAGCGTGTGTTTTTAGTAATATTTAACGTTATTTAAAATAGAAAAAACTATCAAAATGATTTTCCACATTTTTAAAAAATCCGTATTTTTCGAAATTTTTTTGTCGCAGAATCACGAAAAAACCATATAACCAAAACTTTGTCAAAGAAAAAGCGCTGGGAAACTAGCTTTTTTCCGCGCTTGATAAAATTATGCAGATGCTATCCGAAAAATTTGAATAAAAATTTAAAAATCACGCATCCATCACTTCCCTAAAAATGAGCAAAATTTCAAACCATTCCAAAACAAGCCAAATTTCACCCTCCACGATGGCCACCGAGATTTCGGTTTGTAACTTTGAAGTTTAGCGTTAAAAATTGCTAAATTTAAAACTTTAAAAAATGGAAATTATCTTCTTAGCAAAATTCGAAAATGTAACGACAAGAATCACAAAAAAAATCTAGATGGAACCGGCGTACGACTTTCCGCGTGTCGTCGGCTCGGCGCGCATCGTGCAGCTGGCCGCGCTGGCTATCCAGGTACGCATTTTCCTAGTGATTATCCTCTTTTATCATCGATTATAATTAATTTTAACCAGGGTTGGAAAGCCGCTTCGCGACTTTTCAACCCTGGCCCCGTCTGATCTCACGATATACTTAACTTTGCATAATGTTTGGATTTCCGATGACAAAAACTGAAAAATGCGCTCTCTGCCCCATGATATAGGCTAGCGGAACTTCCGGCGCATGCTAATCTTTTCCTAACAAAGAGGATCGCCAATTTTTTAACAAAAAGCTAAATTTAATGTCGAAAATAAGCAATTTTGATAAATCTGATAAGCGTGCAGTCATCCCAGAGCCATTACGCACCTAATGACGTATCATACATACCTAAAAATTCATCCCCTATCGAGATATCCTCCGGACACCCTGACGGAAGTTGCATGCAAAGTGTCACACACACACACAAACACTATTTTTTTATATATAGTAGGATTTTTCTAGGTGCTGTGCCTGTACGTCTCCGCGGCCGATATTGGCGGCAGCGTGATCATCCACATCGGCGTCATCGGCTTCAACCTGGCCCATGTGGCGCGCCGATGGTACGTTTTACATCATGTAAACCAGTTTTTTAAGCAATACTAACGTTTTTAAAATATTTTTAGCCTGCTAATACGGGTTCTAAAAGTCTTTTTCAGGTTCTACAACATTGACGGGCGCTACGACTTTCGGCAAATGATCGCGCCGAACATGAACAACACGCTGCGCACCCAGTACGCCATCGGTGGGCAATACTTTTTGATTTAATAACTACAAATTATAATATAGAGTATTTTAAAAGTATTTTTATTGAAATTTAGGCTACGGTTTACTTTACCCCCCCAGCCGGACGTTTTTGGCTATAACTTTTTTATTTTACATTATTGTAGGCTCAAATTCAAACTCTTAGTATATTTTTCGACGCTCTATCGAATGGCGTTGCAAAAATCCCGACAAAATAAGCGAAAATACCGACAACTTTGAGACCCTCCGGCTGTGGGGGTAAGTAAACTCTTATTTAATGTCTTTAAATTTAAATATATTTA